AACTTAACAGATAAGCTAGCCAAGCAAATACGAAAAGGAATGAACTGAAAAAAACATAACACAAACTAAAACGAATAGCTTAAATGCATACTTAAGCCAAACTGTGAGATAAAGTAAAGCATACAATTCAACTTCATAGATACAAACTCATGCTTTAAATACTAATACACACACTAAACACCATACATACATATATGTACGTGAAATTACAAAAGCACGCTTTATGCAAGAAAGTTACTAAAAATATCAATGGGAAAAAATTAAATGCAATACAATGAATTCAAGATGAATTTCTTACTTTTTTGTGCTCTCATATAGAGTAGCAACACCCTTGAACGTACTTTCCCACACATGCACACGGTCACATACTCAAAGATAAAAAGCATGCACACAGATACGAGTACAATGCATGCTTGCTTTGCTTATTCAAATTCATGGCAGTGCTTAAAAAACTTAAAAAGCTTAAATGAATGGCTGCATAAGATTTCGGAAGGTGGAAGCATGAATACACGACTTCATCTTAACTTCTGGCAGGCTTGCAGCCCAGTCCGTAGCAGCGAACTGCAATGGAGTACCCCGTAGATGCAGGCATGTAGCATATGCAGATACTCATTCCGCCGTGCAACATTAAAATTGCCACTTGTAAAAAGTAAATTGACTTGGTATTTTTTTTTTGTGTTGCTCTGCTTTTTTTTGTATTTTTTGTAGGATAAATATTTTTATGCACATTTTTTTATTGTATCTTTTTTTTTGGTAACTTATTTTGCTAACAACGCTCGCCATTGCCATGGCTTGGCTTATCTTCATCAGTGGCTTTGACTTTCCCTTTAGCTTTCGTAATAACAAAATAAACTTTGCGTTCAACATAAAATAAAAATAAAAACGAAAATTGGAAAAGAAACAAAATTAATACAAAACACAACATAAAAAATTACCAAAAAAAAAAAAAAGTAGTAGTAAGAGAAGCGGAAACGGAAACGCTGAAAAGTATGCTATGAAGAACTGTAACGTAACATTAAACTGCTGCTGCTCCTGCTGCACATATAAGTATCTATGTATCTGTACATACGTATGGCGGATTTTTTGGTGTGTAACGTACAGCTTCAATTTATTCACATCTGTGTATGTGTGTATCTGTGTATGTGTGTATATGTGTATGTGCACGTGTGCTACTAGCAGCCGCATGTGTAAATTCGTTTAGAAATTGATGTGCTCATCAATTAAATTCGGCGAAAAAATCGCAGATACATTCTGCAAAAATAAACAAAAGATATAAAAATTTGCTAAAGTAAGCAACAGTGAAAGTACATGGAAAAAATGTGTACTGAATAAGCGTACACTAGAAACTCATGTGAACTAACATGTGTTTATGTTTTTTTTGTTGTTTTTTCCACAGACTTTTTATCTTATTTTCATTTGTTAGTTTTCTATCTTAAAAAAAAACGCAAAAAAAAATTACAAATGTTTAACTAAAATACCAACAGATAGATTCGCTGTGGAACTACATTAACTTGCACAGAAAAATCTGAAGTAATCTTTATTGAAGTAAATTGCAATTCTATTGAAATGAATCTTTTTTCTACAAATAGAAAAATAGAATAAAATAGAAAAAGAAAAATAGACATAGAAATAAAAATGAAGAGTAAGAAGACTTAGCAAATTGCTTTACCTGCAACTTTTATGGAAGTTAAGTACGTGAAAAATTTTTTTTCCTTGATAAATGTTATGTGTGCAGAATTTTTTTTAATATTTAAATTGAATAATTGAAGCAATTTTTAGGATTTAAACTTACATAGCGGAATAATTCGTTAAATTATTGAACTGTTCTTAATTGCAAAAAAAAAAAATTAATTATTAATTTATAAGCAATTCAATAAAAAAATTAAGAATTTGCATGTACCAATTTAACAATTGTTTAAAAAGTTTTTACTTTACATTTTTCTATCAATTCCCTGAAGATGACTGTAGACAAGTAATTTAAAAAAATTGTATTCTATTTAATAATTGACCAATCATTCTATTTCAAAAATATAAAAATGATTACAAAATATTGTTTAATCTGTTAACGAACACTCAGCCTACACTCAGTAAAATAATATGATTGATTTAACTAGATTTTAACTAAATCTCAGATCAAAGTATTCTTACTAGAAGCATAATGTTGGGTTAACCATACCACATTAGATGAAATTTTTCTAATAAAATGATAATTAAAAGGGTTATGTTTAGAGCATACTTTTCTGAATGTAACAGTTGAAGTATGATTTAGGACAAATCCGGTCATTGACACAATAAGTGCTCCGAAATTTCCCCTTAGAAGGCCAGGAGATATATACTATAGGAGACTTAACAGGGCACACCGAGTCTAGTCATAAATTGACTTTTCTCTGTGTGTGGCAGCAGAAGGGTTTAAAACAAAATGTTCCATGGATGTTGCTAGGAAGTCTGGCTAGCTTATTAGCGCATATATTTCCTGCAATTTTAGAATGTCTGCGAACCCAAAGAAGAGTTACCTACAACCTAGTGTCTAGTATATTAATAAATCTTCTACATTCGGGCAGTACTTTAGTCAAAATACAGACAACTGATAAAAATGTCATAACTGCTTGCGTATCAGTGAGATTTTTGACTTCCTTTTGATGAAAGTTCAAACTTGCAGTAAGAGAACAACCTCTTAGAATGGTGAACATTTCTGCCTGAAGTATGGAAGTAAAGTCAGTACTGTTCAGTAAAATCAATGAATGTGATAGCATTTAAAAATTTCTAAGTTGGCGAGATAGATCTTCACCTTCATCCATTTTTAATCCTTAGGTGTTATTTGATGTTTCCACTTATCTTGTAATCATACTACTTCACCGAATACTAGAGACAAAACTATGATCAAAGTTCAAGCGAAAATATTATTAATCTGATTAGATGTTTTCAGTGTTTAGCATTAACTATTTTCTCAATACATAAATATTGAAATATATTTCCTAAGGGATTTTTAGAAAATAGCTATCATTATTAGTTAATTGACAAGTAGAGATGCATATTGCTAAAAATATCTTAGTTGCTTGATTAAGATACACTATGTATATCCTAGCACTTTTTACAACAGTCTATTCTACTACTATGTTGAGGCTAGTTGAGTTGAGTCAGTGCACCTGAGCACTTTTACTCTCTATTAACTGCGAGGTTTCTACAAAACCCCTCTTTACGCCTTAACTGGATTATTGTTTATCACTTCATCAGATTAAGCAATAATTGACCTCATATCTGCATACCTCCCCGAGGAGCCGGTAACCATTCTACTTTAAAATACTTATGATTAGTAATTTTTTTATATTTTATAAATAATAAGCACATTTAAAATATTGAATAAAAGTAAAATTTAACCCAATTAATAAAATCATCAAGGCATGACATTTAAACAGAATATCTTATATATCTTATATTCTTATTAGAATATCTTAATTCTGTTTAAATGGTTGCAGCCTCCGATTACTCATACGAAGCTTAAAAAATTAAGAGCAGTACTTAGTTACTTTAATCACTTGATGCTAATTATTATTTGTAACATAAAGTAAACATTGTTTTGTTTATA